TACGGATGACCTTGGGACTAAGATCACTCATGACGAAAATTATGTCGAATAATATATGGTACAAGAACAAATACAAAATGGAACGAACTCACCGGGATTATCTGAGTAATTGTCGTAGATGAAGTTCGCGGTTGGGCTCACCAGTTTAAAGGTTGACGGATATTAAAGGTTTGACGTGATATCTCGTTCAACAACTTCTAATTAATTTATTCTCGCGTACCAAAGACAAAGCAAAAGCCAATAATTGATCGTCCAAACGAAGAAATGTATTTAGGAACCAAAACCAGCCGTTAGACGAACGCTTAGCTAGCTAGTGATCGTGCACGTTACACGACGGGGTACCAAATGGCGGGGATGCTTGACCGGAAGCCTTCAGCTAAACAAGTCGACTTAAACAGTGGTGGTCAGCATCCAATGAGTGATTGCTGTGGTCAATAATTTTGGGGAATTATTTACCGCTACAGCTCACTCCCCCCTAGTGGGGTCGTGAGGACCCTAAGACAGAACCAGCCGGAAGTAAAAAAAACTCGATGGTTCCCTTTCGGGTGAAAAAAATCTTCCGAGCGGCTTGGTCTTATGCCTACTGGTTTGTCTGCCTATGCTAATGGGGTGTTTGTACATAGCTTCCTGGTGTTGTTCGTTGGATTCCGTGCTTCGTTTGTTTCCCGTCCAGTGCCCGTCGCACCTGGAAAAGAAAACAAGAACGCTAAGAACCATGTCGAGGAAAATGTACGAAATGACCTTTTTGGTTAAAAAAAATTATGTGCATTTACTATACAGTAAAATAATGCTAAGTTCAGAACATCGAAAAAAAATACATATAATTAATTTTTTTGTGTATGTTACATGAACTGTTGAAAAAAAATTTTTCGTGTTTGGTGGTACTGTATATAAAAAAAATTATACGTCAAAAAAAATAGTTAGTACCACAAACGAGTGAGTTGCGTGAATCACACGACTTCGTTAAGTCAAAAAAGTGTGCAAATGTTCTGGGAACCTTACGGTGCGTCCAGAACGGTTTTTCTTAGGAGGCTCAACCTTAGTAGCCAGTGGGCGAATGCCCTTGCAGTCAATAGTGTGACCCAGGAAGTCGAGTGAGTCAACACCGATTTGACACTTTTGAATATTGATGGTAACACCATGTTGGCGTAACCTGTCAAATGCCAAGTCCAAGTGCCTAAGGTGAGTTTCCTTGTCTGGACTGGCAATGAGGCAGTCGTCTAAGTATGCGTATACAAAGTCGAGACCGCGAAATACTTCGTCAATGAAGCGTTGGAATGTTTGGGCTGCATTCCGAAGACCGAATGGCATACGTAGAAATTCAAAAAGTCCGAAAGGCGTAATGATAGCCGTTTTCGGGATGTCTTCTGTTGCCATCGGGATTTGGTTATACGCTTTAACCAAGTCGATTTTGGAGAATATAGTCGCGCCGGATAAGGTTGCCGTCAAGTCGTGTATATGAGGCAACGGGTAGCAATCAGGGGTTGTTTTGGCATTCACTCGCCGGTAATCACCGGTGGGTCGCCAATCGTTGCTATCCTTTTTCGGAACCATATGAAGTGGGGATGCCCATGGGCTATTCGAAGGTCGAATGATGCCAAGGCTAAGCATATGGTCAAATTCATTCCTGGCGATTCTCAGTTTGTCAGGAGCTAATCGTCGTGCTTTAGATGTCACAGGTTGTCCTGTGGTAATGATGTGGTGCATAACATTGCTGGTTATGCACGGTAGGTCGTTCGACGGGCAGTTAAGTTCCGGATACTTGTCAACGATAGGTTGAAAAGTTGGATCAAGAATTGCCTTTATCTTAACGGGTGACAAGCTAGGGCCTATGTAGGTAATGCCTTTGATAGACAGACTAGTAGTATTGTCAATCAGTCGTTTTCGGCGGACGTCTACGAGTAAATCATGATGATTAAGTAGGTCCGTGCCAATGATGGGCATTGTAACGTCAGCGAGAAGGAAAATCCACCGAATAGGTTTGCGTAAACCTACGTTCAGATAGACGTATTTCCTACCAAAGGTTGCGATTGGTTTTCCATTTGCAGCCTGTAAGTTGAAGGTAGGTTCCTTCTGTCGATCTGCTGCTGTAGCAGGAAGGACGCTGACTTCGGCGCCTGTGTCGACTAAGTATCGAGTCTGGCTTATCACATCATGGATGTAAAGTAGGCGGCTAGTGCCACCGGCGACGGTTGCCGCTAACGCGTGCCGGCGGGATAGTTTCCCACAGACTTTGAGACATTTCCGAAGTTACAAGGCTTACGGCAACACTTCGCTTCTTGGCCATAGGTGTTGTGGTACCAGCACCAGTCAGGGTTTTTCAGTGAACGTGGTTTGGACTTAGATCGACCACGCGAGTTCCTGCGTTGAGGAGATTTAGGACGACGGTTGGAGGATTTAGAATGCGTGTTTGACCTAAACATCTGCTGAAGGGAGTTGCATAACTCTGTCATTGCAGGATCCTCACTCGAAGTCTGCTTAGTCATTGAGCATATTTCGGGAACAGACCGTTTAGTTATTTCTAGAATCTTATCTGCAGTAATAGCTAAGTTCTCTATTACAGTACCCTCAAGTGTCACAAGTACGGTCTGTACAGATTGTGGCAACTTGGTTAAGAAGAGTTCTCTAAACAGTCCTTCGTCGAACTGACATTGGCCGACGACTTGTTTCATTCTTGTCAGCATGCTCACGGCTGACTGATCTCCTAACTCGATGTTGCGAAATAATTCATCTAGACGTTGTCTGTCCGTGAGAGCGTTTCTCCTGAGGAGGGATGCTTTCAGCAACTCGTACGAGTTACTTACCTCGGGACTCAACATCTGTGATGTTACGTACTTGCTGAATTCCCGCGGTAGGGCGTGAATAACTGCAAGTAACTGTGAACGTTGATCGGTTATCCCATGCTCACAAAAATCTGCTTCAGCTAGCAGAAACCACGTTTCAGCATTATCTGGCCAGTATGGTACGAGCTGAATGGTTTTAGGAGTTGAGCGGATACGGATGACCTTGGGACTAAGATCACTCATGACGAAAATTATGTCGAATAATATATGGTACAAGAACAAATACAAAATGGAACGAACTCACCGGGATTATCTGAGTAATTGTCGTAGATGAAGTTCGCGGTTGGGCTCACCAGTTTAAAGGTGGACGGATATTAAAGGTTTGACGTGATATCTCGTTCAACAACTTCTAATTAATTTATTCTCGCGTACCAAAGACAAAGCAAAAGCCAATAATTGATCGTCCAAACGAAGAAATGTATTTAGGAACCAAAACCAGCCGTTAGACGAACGCTTAGCTAGCTAGTGATCGTGCACGTTACACGACGGGGTACCAAATGGCGGGGATGCTTGACCGGAAGCCTTCAGCTAAACAAGTCGACTTAAACAGTGGTGGTCAGCATCCAATGAGTGATTGCTGTGGTCAATAATTTTGGGGAATTATTTACCGCTACAGCTCACTCCCCCCTAGTGGGGTCGTGAGGACCCTAAGACAGAACCAGCCGGAAGTAAAAAAAACTCGATGGTTCCCTTTCGGGTGAAAAAAATCTTCCGAGCGGCTTGGTCTTATGCCTACTGGTTTGTCTGCCTATGCTAATGGGGTGTTTGTACATAGCTTCCTGGTGTTGTTCGTTGGATTCCGTGCTTCGTTTGTTTCCCGTCCAGTGCCCGTCGCACCTGGAAAAGAAAACAAGAACGCTAAGAACCATGTCGAGGAAAATGTACGAAATGACCTTTTTGGTTAAAAAAAATTATGTGCATTTACTATACAGTAAAATAATGCTAAGTTCAGAACATCGAAAAAAAATACATATAATTAATTTTTTTGTGTATGTTACATGAACTGCTGAAAAAAAATTTTTCGTGTTTGGTGGTACTGTATATAAAAAAATTTATACGTCAAAAAAAATAGTTAGTACCACAAACGAGTGAGTTGCGTGAATCACACGACTTCGTTAAGTCAAAAAAGTGTGCAAATGTTCTGGGAACCTTACGGTGCGTCCAGAACGGTTTTTCTTAGGAGGCTCAACCTTAGTAGCCAGTGGGCGAATGCCCTTGCAGTCAATAGTGTGACCCAGGAAGTCGAGTGAGTCAACACCGATTTGACACTTTTGAATATTGATGGTAACACCATGTTGGCGTAACCTGTCAAATGCCAAGTCCAAGTGCCTAAGGTGAGTTTCCTTGTCTGGACTGGCAATGAGGCAGTCGTCTAAGTATGCGTATACAAAGTCGAGACCGCGAAATACTTCGTCAATGAAGCGTTGGAATGTTTGGGCTGCATTCCGAAGACCGAATGGCATACGTAGAAATTCAAAAAGTCCGAAAGGCGTAATGATAGCCGTTTTCGGGATATCTTCTGTTGCCATCGGGATTTGGTTATACGCTTTAACCAAGTCGATTTTGGAGAATATAGTCGCGCCGGATAAGGTTGCCGTCAAGTCGTGTATATGAGGCAACGGGTAGCAATCAGGGGTTGTTTTGGCATTCACTCGCCGGTAATCACCGGTGGGTCGCCAATCGTTGCTATCCTTTTTCGGAACCATATGAAGTGGGGATGCCCATGGGCTATTCGAAGGTCGAATGATGCCAAGGCTAAGCATATGGTCAAATTCATTCCTGGCGATTCTCAGTTTGTCAGGAGCTAATCGTCGTGCTTTAGATGTCACAGGTTGTCCTGTGGTAATGATGTGGTGCATAACATTGCTGGTTATGCACGGTAGGTCGTTCGACGGGCAGTTAAGTTCCGGATACTTGTCAACGATAGGTTGAAAAGTTGGATCAAGAATTGCCTTTATCTTAACGGGTGACAAGCTAGGGCCTATGTAGGTAATGCCTTTGATAGACAGACTAGTAGTATTGTCAATCAGTCGTTTTCGGCGGACGTCTACGAGTAAATCATGATGATTAAGTAGGTCCGTGCCAATGATGGGCATTGTAACGTCAGCGAGAAGGAAAATCCACCGAATAGGTTTGCGTAAACCTACGTTCAGATAGACGTATTTCCTACCAAAGGTTGCGATTGGTTTTCCATTTGCAGCCTGTAAGTTGAAGGTAGGTTCCTTCTGTCGATCTGCTGCTGTAGCAGGAAGGACGCTGACTTCGGCGCCTGTGTCGACTAAGTATCGAGTCTGGCTTATCACATCATGGATGTAAAGTAGGCGGCTAGTGCCACCGGCGACGGTTGCCGCTAACGCGTGCCGGCGGGATAGTTTCCCGCAGACTTTGAGACATTTCCGAAGTTACAAGGCTTACGGCAACACTTCGCTTCTTGGCCATAGGTGTTGTGGTACCAGCACCAGTCAGGGTTTTTCAGTGAACGTGGTTTGGACTTAGATCGACCACGCGAGTTCCTGCGTTGAGGAGATTTAGGACGACGGTTGGAGGATTTAGAATGCGTGTTTGACCTAAACATCTGCTGAAGGGAGTTGCATAACTCTGTCATTGCAGGATCCTCACTCGAAGTCTGCTTAGTCATTGAGCATATTTCGGGAACAGACCGTTTAGTTATTTCTAGAATCTTATCTGCAGTAATAGCTAAGTTCTCTATTACAGTACCCTCAAGTGTCACAAGTACGGTCTGTACAGACTGTGGCAACTTGGTTAAGAAGAGTTCTCTAAACAGTCCTTCGTCGAACTGACTTTGGCCGACGACTTGTTTCATTCTTGTCAGCATGCTCACGGCTGACTGATCTCCTAACTCGATGTTACGAAATAATTCATCTAGACGTTGTCTGTCCGTGAGAGCGTTTCTCCTGAGGAGGGATGCTTTCAGCAACTCGTACGAGTTACTTACCTCGGGACTCAACATCTGTGATGTTACGTACTTGCTGAATTCCCGCGGTAGGGCGTGAATAACTGCAAGTAACTGTGAACGTTGATCAGTTATCCCATGCTCACAAAAATCTGCTTCAGCTAGCAGAAACCACGTTTCAGCATTATCTGGCCAGTATGGTACGAGCTGAATGGTTTTAGGAGTTGAGCGGATACGGATGACCTTGGGACTAAGATCACTCATGACGAAAATTATATCGAATAATATATGGTACAAGAACAAATACAAAATGGAACGAACTCACCGGGATTATCTGAGTAATTGTCGTAGATGAAGTTCGCGGTTAGGCTCACCAGTTTAAAGGTTGACGGATATTAAAGGTTTGACGTGATATCTCGTTCAACAACTTCTAATTAATTTATTCTCGCGTACCAAAGACAAAGCAAAAGCCAATAATTGGTCGTCCAAACGAAGAAATGTATTTAGGAACCAAAACCAGCCGATAGACGAACGCTTAGCTAGCTAGTGATCGTGCACGTTACACGACGGGGTACCAAATGGCGGGGATGCTTGACCGGAAGCCTTCAGCTAAACAAGTCGACTTAAACAGTGGTGGTCAGCATCCAATGAGTGATTGCTGTGGTCAATAATTTTGGGGAATTATTTACCGCTACAGCTCACTCCCCCCTAGTGGGGTCGTGAGGACCCTAAGACAGAACCAGCCGGAAGTAAAAAAACTCGATGGTTCCCTTTCGGGTGAAAAAAATCTTCCGAGCGGCTTGGTCTTATGCCTACTGGTTTGTCTGCCTATGCTAATGGGGTGTTTGTACATAGCTTCCTGGTGTTGTTCGTTGGATTCCGTGCTTCGTTTGTTTCCTGTCCAGTGCCCGTCGCACCTGGAAAAGAAAACAAGAACGCTAAGAACCATGTCGAGGAAAATGTACGAAATGACCTTTTTGGTTAAAAAAAATTATGTGCATTTACTATACAGTAAAATAATGCTAAGTTCAGAACATCGAAAAAAAATACATATAATTAATTTTTTTGTGTATGTTACATGAACTGTTGAAAAAAAATTTTTCGTGTTTGGTGGTACTGTATATAAAAAAATTTATACGTCAAAAAAAATAGTTAGTACCACGAACGAGTGAGTTGCGTGAATCACACGACTTCGTTAAGTCAAAAAAGTGTGCAAATGTTCTGGGAACCTTACGGTGCGTCCAGAACGGTTTTTCTTAGGAGGCTCAACCTTAGTAGCCAGTGGGCGAATGCCCTTGCAGTCAATAGTGTGACCCAGGAAGTCGAGTGAGTCAACACCGATTTGACACTTTTGAATATTGATGGTAACACCATGTTGGCGTAACCTGTCAAATGCCAAGTCCAAGTGCCTAAGGTGAGTTTCCTTGTCTGGACTGGCAATGAGGCAGTCGTCTAAGTATGCGTATACAAAGTCGAGACCGCGAAATACTTCGTCAATGAAGCGTTGGAATGTTTGGGCTGCATTCCGAAGACCGAATGGCATACGTAGAAATTCAAAAAGTCCGAAAGGCGTAATGATAGCCGTTTTCGGGATATCTTCTGTTGCCATCGGGATTTGGTTATACGCTTTAACCAAGTCGATTTTAGAGAATATAGTCGCGCCGGATAAGGTTGCCGTCAAGTCGTGTATATGAGGCAACGGGTAGCAATCAGGGGTTGTTTTGGCATTCACTCGCCGGTAATCACCGGTGGGTCGCCAATCGTTGCTATCCTTTTTCGGAACCATATGAAGTGGGGATGCCCATGGGCTATTCGAAGGTCGAATGATGCCAAGGCTAAGCATATGGTCAAATTCATTCCTGGCGATTCTCAGTTTGTCAGGAGCTAATCGTCGTGCTTTAGATGTCACAGGTTGTCCTGTGGTAATGATGTGGTGCATAACATTGCTGGTTATGCACGGTAGGTCGTTCGACGGGCAGTTAAGTTCCGGATACTTGTCAACGATAGGTTGAAAAGTTGGATCAAGAATTGCCTTTATCTTAACGGGTGACAAGCTAGGGCCTATGTAGGTAATGCCTTTGATAGACAGACTAGTAGTATTGTCAATCAGTCGTTTTCGGCGGACGTCTACGAGTAAATCATGATGATTAAGTAGGTCCGTGCCAATGATGGGCATTGTAACGTCAGCGAGAAGGAAAATCCATCGAATAGGTTTGCGTAAACCTACGTTCAGATAGACGTATTTCCTACCAAAGGTTGCGATTGGTTTTCCATTTGCAGCCTGTAAGTTGAAGGTAGGTTCCTTCTGTCGATCTGCTGCTGTAGCAGGAAGGACGCTGACTTCGGCGCCTGTGTCGACTAAGTATCGAGTCTGGCTTATCACATCATGGATGTAAAGTAGGCGGCTAGTGCCACCGGCGACGGTTGCCGCTAACGCGTGCCGGCGGGATAGTTTCCCGCAGACTTTGAGACATTTCCGAAGTTACAAGGCTTACGGCAACACTTCGCTTCTTGGCCATAGGTGTTGTGGTACCAGCACCAGTCAGGGTTTTTCAGTGAACGTGGTTTGGACTTAGATCGACCACGCGAGTTCCTGCGTTGAGGAGATTTAGGACGACGGTTGGAGGATTTAGAATGCGTGTTTGACCTAAACATCTGCTGAAGGGAGTTGCATAACTCTGTCATTGCAGGATCCTCACTCGAAGTCTGCTTAGTCATTGAGCATATTTCGGGAACAGACCGTTTAGTTATTTCTAGAATCTTATCTGCAGTAATAGCTAAGTTCTCTATTACAGTACCCTCAAGTGTCACAAGTACGGTCTGTACAAACTGTGGCAACTTGGATAAGAAGAGTTCTCTAAACAGTCCTTCGTCGAACTGACTTTGGCCGACGACTTGTTTCATTCTTGTCAGCATGCTCACGGCTGACTGATCTCCTAACTCGATGTTACGAAATAATTCGTCTAGACGTTGTCGGTCCGTGAGAGCGTTTCTCCTGAGGAGGGATGCTTTCAGCAACTCGTACGAGTTACTTACCTCGGGACTCAACATCTGTGATGTTACGTACTTGCTGAATTCCCACGGTAGGGCGTGAATAACTGCAAGTAACTGTGAACGTTGATCAGTTATCCCATGCTCACAAAAATCTGCTTCAGCTAGCAGAAACCACGTTTCAGCATTATCTGGCCAGTATGGTACGAGCTGAATGGTTTTAGGAGTTGAGCGGATACGGATGACCTTGGGACTAAGATCACTCATGACGAAAATTATATCGAATAATATATGGTACAAGAACAAATACAAAATGGAACGAACTCACCGGGATTATCTGAGTAATTGTCGTAGATGAAGTTCGCGGTTAGGCTCACCAGTTTAAAGGTTGACGGATATTAAAGGTTTGACGTGATATCTCGTTCAACAACTTCTAATTAATTTATTCTCGCGTACCAAAGACAAAGCAAAAGCCAATAATTGGTCGTCCAAACGAAGAAATGTATTTAGGAACCAAAACCAGCCGATAGACGAACGCTTAGCTAGCTAGTGATCGTGCACGTTACACGACGGGGTACCAAATGGCGGGGATGCTTGACCGGAAGCCTTCAGCTAAACAAGTCGACTTAAACAGTGGTGGTCAGCATCCAATGAGTGATTGCTGTGGTCAATAATTTTGGGGAATTATTTACCGATACATCACCATGACTTACTTTCCTGTTTGCATCCAAGACGCTCTGTCCCTTCTTTGACCCAGGCATTGTTGAACTTGACCCAATTCCGAAAACGCTCCAGATACTGCTTGTTGAAAGAAGACTTGGCCGGCACCATGAAAGATGAACGGTGTCTATCTTAACTGTCACCAACTGTCCGAATCTGTCAGAAACTGACTCCATATCGTCAGGAACTGTCAGCCACGTCTCGTAAACCGTTAATTCCCAGCTCTTGCTACGCTGGGACTCACGCTGTCCCTCGAAGCTTCTCATAAACTCTTAGTACGAACGGACGCAAAAACCAGAGCCCAGTTTGGCCACTCCGGAATTCTTTATTCTAACACCAACGTATGGCCTATATACAACTAAGGTTTCTGACGGTTGTCTCCTGACTTCTTTCTGAACAACGACCGATAAGACGATGACAGGTGTATTGATGCCTCCGCGAAAATTGGGGAAGTTGGTTTCGAGCAAACAACCATGAATTGATCGTTCAATCTTCAACTACATTGACAGGAGGATTGCGTCAGTCGGGAACCATAGTAATGGGATGCATGGTAACCTTTAGAATACTGAAAATTTAGTAGTTTACCACACAGAAACAAGTGATACACGACTACACACGCATCTCACTTCTGAACCTATGTACACTTAGTTATCACTGAGTTAGGGCCGACTTTATAAATTCACCATTGTGAAAAGACTAAAATATACAGAAAGAAGGAATACTGTTGACTGTAAGTCAACATATGTAGAAATATGAAGAAGCTAGCAGCCTGTCTGAGTTCAATATCTTATATTGACAGTATAAAAAAGTTGGACATAGAATGCTGCGTTAGGTGGTTATATCAGATAGTATGTCTGTGCAACTGTACACGAACTCAGTTGTCATCCTCCTTGACAGTGTTAGCTGACATACGAATAGTTAGAGAAAGCGAGTGGGTGGTTGGTCCGAAATATTTCACCATTACAAAAAATTTTATACTATTAACTTAAGCCACGCATAGGATGTGGGCTGCGTGACTGAAAACGCTGATATCAGTGGGAGTATGTTTTTAATAACGTGACTCAAAACCGCTCTTAATGGTCACCATGAAATCGGATGACTGGTCTTTTCAGAGATAAGCAGGTGTCTCTCTCTCTCTCACTACAATGAAGCGGTCAGGAAGGGACTGACTTGAATTTTTTTATGGTTACAGCTTGATTCCACACCGTATTTTTGGTACAAGTGTGGAATTTTCAGCGTGGATATCGGTAGCCCAAAATTCGCAGGCCAACCACAGATATCAGGTGTGCGCCGGCGAGGGCTCGAACCCCGGACCATGTGCATGAGAGAACAATATGTAGTGCTTAAAATTTGAGCACCATAGTAGCTTTTGTCACTTAAGTAAAACACAGTATTAATAGTCGGAATAATCGGGTTTATCAAGGTGAGCAGAAAAGTTTGTTTTAACGTATCTGGTCAACCTTTCGTAGGTGCTGTGGTTCCGCGTATGTCAACTGTTATTCATTTCGTCGTGGTTCTGCTGCTCAGTGAATGCTGGGCAAGGTCATATTTCAAATATCCAGTTTATCAGTACAAACGTAAAGCGACAAACGAGCAGTTATATCAGAGAGCTACAGACAATTGCACTGGCGTATGTCCTGATGACAATAGGATATCCCCACTTGAACACATTAAATGCATACGCCGTTGCTTAAGCCAAAGTTGTTACGATCAGTTATATGGTTTTGATGAGCTAGAAGAAGGAGAAATAGACGTCAGACAAACCTCTTTCAAAGGCTGTGTGCTACAAAGACTTAAGGAGAAAGGTTATCGCGTAATTTAAGTGAGTCTTTTTCCTGTTCAGACTTAATCCTGCTTGTGTTTCTTAAAGGGTTCTATAATATTTTTTTCATCTTGCAGATATCAGAACTTAGCTGTAAATTTTTAATTGTCAACATATAACTTATGTAACTCACTAAATATGAATATGTTAATGTCGTATTACGTTCATGTCCATCAGTATTAAGCAATAAAATTGGAGAGGAGGGCTGTCCCACGTGAGAGGCAGTTTTACTTCGACAAATTACAGACAAGTTATGTTAGGAGGTAAAGGTAACCATATTTATATGATCTTTGTCCTCTTCTCCAAAAATGCTCGTTTAGTACAGTGGCCTCACAGTTCACACATCGAAATTATGTATACTATACTATGTATACTACTCACGATATATATCTCTGCAGAGGTCTAGTCTCTCTTTGAAAGCGTCCACCAATAGAGCTGTTACTACTGAATCAGGTGAAGAGTTCCAGCCGTTGATCACTCCGTGAGAGAATCTAAACTCCAACCGTACTTTATTCGACCTCGGTTTGAGCACCTTCTGGTGAGCCCGTAAATGTATCCTAGAGGGAGAGAAAAGATTTGAAAGGTCAATCCCTAAATCACCCTTTAACATACGGTAAGCCAAAATTAAGTTACCTTCCCCTTACGGTATGATAATGCGACGAGATTTAAATGTTCCATCCTTTTATTATGAGGAAGGGGTGAGATACCACCAACTAATTTGGTTCCTACCCTCTGTACTCTCTCCAGGATATGTGCCTCCTTTTTGAAGCTTCGACTCATCGCTTGTATGCGGTATTCTAGATGAAGTCTGATATATGTTGCATAGAGTACTTGCAACATACACTAGTCTAATCCTTTGAGAGCCCTTCGAAGTGCCCATAGCATTCGAAAAGCCTTAGCTGCGGCTCCATGTCAGTTTACCGTTGTTTTTAAGTCATTACTTTCAATAAGTCCGTTCGCCCCTCAATATCTTGCAGTTCTGTGTCCTCCAGGGAGTACGATGTGTAAGACCTCTGACCAGCAAAGTTCTACAATAGCGTCCCAAGGGATGCGAACGCACGAGTGACCTTCAGCCAACCAATTATAAAAATGAGGAATTTTTGTACAAAAAATGACGTATATTCACGAGAAAACATATTTAAAAGATTATCTTTCTCTCACATGACTTTAAAAAACGTCCCAGTTTTGATGAGTATCACTTGCTAACTTGGACTAGCTTCTATAGATGTATACATCTATATTCACCGAAGTGACTGAAGATGTGCTGTTTTGTTAACCGTTCATCTCTCTTTTGCTGTGCAGTCGTCTCCAAAGCCCTCGGTTAAATTACTATGATTTCAGTAGGAGGACCGACGACTACATACAAGGGAAATAAAGATAAATCAAATTAAAATAAACGACATTAGCTATAAATCTATCCCTAATCGCAACCCTAACCCTAAACTTAACACTGATCCTAACCTTAATCCTAAACCTAATGACAATCCTTATCCTACCGTAACCCTAACCCCAATACTTAACTTAACCCTTATCCTAACCTTAACGAGATATTAACACATTGTCCAAACAGTAATTAAAAGTGTTATCTGGGTGAAACTTGCTCCTTATTTGATGAATAGCATTGATTTTTCAGCTATGATAATAATAGGTGCCGTTAGCCAACGACTAGCATGCGTTCAAGGCCACTGAAGCGTTCGTACTCCTGGGACGCTATTGTTGAACTTCGCCCTCTGACCTAGGTGCATTGCGGCGCTTTTCTTTGAACTAATTTCCAGACTCCAGAGGTTAACCCACTTAGCTAATTTATCTAGATCGTTTGCAGTACCAACCTATCGTTATTATTATTTACGGCTTTCGGTATCTTAATATTGTCCGCAAATAATGGGGAAGATGAAGTAAAAATTTTCGGCACTTCATTTACGTATAATAGGAATAGCAGAGAGCTAAGCACAGTTCCCTGGGGTACTCCACTTAGTACTGCCTTCCAACCTGACAGTAAACCATTAACCTTTATCATTTGCCTTCTATCCATCAAGTAGTCGCTAAACCACTCACATAGGCGTTGGTCTAATCCAAGACGTTTGAGTTTACTAGGCAGACCTAAATGGGATACCTTATCTAATGCTTTACTGAGATCGATAAAGATAACGTACAATAGATGGTTCTTATCCGTGACTTCAATCCAATCTTCCGTAGCTAACAGTAAGTTTGCCAGTCAGGATCGTCCTGGTCAGAATCCATGTTGTTCCACCTCCAGTAAGCAGCCATGTTTCTCCATATGAACGAAGAGCTGATCCCTTATGAGTGTTTCTAATACCTTTGCTTTAATGCAGGACAAACTTACAGACCGGTAGTTAGATACTAACTGCCTGTTCCCCTCTTTGAAGATGGAGCTTATGATTGCATCCTTCGAGTCCCTGGGTATAGCTTAGCCTGGGTCATAGACATTTGAAGAAATCACCGTAAGTGGAATGTATATTGTATCCACCAAGGAGTTTTTGTCAAAATTTATATCAGTTACGTAACGATTATAATTTGAACTATTGTTGATTGTTATAATTAACCTTATAAAATGTAAGAAGTTACCCCGATAGTCTGTGAATTTGTTTTTTTAAAGATGAATTATAATTGTCCTACCATATTAGTTATATGCTTCCTAGTAATTCGTCGATAAATCACCCTTAAACTGAAATAACATTGTGGCGATTCATTCAGTATGTGGTATGTGCAACGAATCAGAGGGTATTGGAGACTGTACTTTAGTATTGTTGTCAATCCACTTCGATTTACAATTGTAGGTTACATTCAAGTCAATTTTTCTACTTGATTTCACAGAGCATTTTGATAATAGTTCATTAACATAGTCTTGTAATCATTCTAAGCTTGCAAACATCAATCACTATTTTATTCTAATTATAAATTACAAATCTGTACTGTACATTACTTCGTTTCATTTGTCCGTCTTTTTTATGTTAGAACCATGATGACAAATTCAACGTCTCATCATCATCATACCCCCACAAACCCAACAAGTTCCAATTCAGAAGAAGTGCTAGATGAGTTAGTTCCAGCGTTGGTTCAATGTTTCGGTGTTATTTTCCTGGGATATCTTGCTGGCGTTGGAAAATCCTTCCTGAATCTCAAGCTAAAGGACTTGGTTCGTATGTGACTAAATTTGCTTTGCCTTCAGTATTTTTCCGAGTAAGTTAGTCTTTATTAATGATTTTGAATAGTTTTTCCTTCACACTAGAGATTGTTTTGTCCATTTACTTTTTCTTTGTTGATGTTGTGATGATGTATGTTTTATTTGGAGTCCATATTCAGTGATGGGAGTGATAATCAAAATGGTAAAGTTGCCACGAAGTCTTTATTTATATGAAAGATGTATAGAAGTGCGAGTGGAGCGATTTATGTACTTATGGAATCAGTATGGGCAGTTATCACTTCCCAAGTTCCTACACTATGGTTGAGCGCTGACGAAATCTCAGCACGGATACAGAGGGGCGGTTTCGAATATGCTAGTTCACGCCGTCTCTGGTGTACAGGTGATACCCCCTCTGGCTATCGATTGAAGGGCGTGTGTACTGCTCTGAAGTCCACTCTGTCCTCATTTATGTCTGTGAGTGAGACATGGGCATTGGGAGTGAAAGAAATGAAAAGACCAGCTGTCTTTGATCATAAGTGCCTGTGTTCTATCTCCCTTGTGTAAGTGGTATTATAGGGTGAGGAATGTTGAGGTTATGCATCGAGTGATAGGTAGGTGGGAGCGGAAATCAATAGACGAGGCTGTGAAGCTATATCGACTGACATGGTTGGAATATGTCGTACGTATGCCTAGCCATTGCCTTCCTTGACAACGGGCAATGTTAGCTGACATTGTGTCAGGTTGGAAAAGAGTGAGCCAGTAGTGGTCAAACCAAAACATGACTTCATTGGTCAATGGACTCCACAACAGTTTGTTTAAGCTAGGAAGGCGTAGACTTCCTAGTTAGGTTCCTCGGTACGGTAAAAGCCAGTGACTTGAGACAATTGGTGATATGGTTCAAAATCGTTCTCAATCGCTAGCGAAGATGCATCCACTCATTGTGACCTATAATATCCAATGAAACTATATTGTTCTTCGTTATTACTATTCCTTTTGTCTCATATCCCTGTCTACTGTCTCTGTTTTGCATTTCTACTATCTTCTCTTGCTTTGTGTGCTACATTGAGGGAGTGTGGAGACGTGAACTGCTGAACATCGGTGCTAAGTTCTGTGTTGAAAACAGACAGACAGACATATCATGGAAGTTGATCTCTTTTTTTGGTGTAATTGTGTTCTCTGAGCTACATGGTTTAATTACGAAGTTGTCGTCAGCGCATACTTCAAACTAAAGTGAGCTTTTAGAATTCTCCAGAAGTTTATTCGTCATCTCTGCTAGTTACCTTGATTTATTCGTGAAATATATAAGGGAGAAACAACATTGATATTGCGTTGCCAAGTGAATTCGAGAGTAGTTGGTTAACAACTGTTCTACTAGAATCGATCATTAGTTTAAGGATGTGCTCTTCTTTTATCTCCCACTTTCGACGACCATTTGATACTTGAAGATGGATTTCCGCTCAAAAACTTATCGCCTTGATAAATCTGGCTCTAGTAGTGTAATAGATAAGCCATACCAGCTTATCTCGTTTTCTTTTTATTGATGCATTGGCTTTTTTTTGATAACATTAAGACGTCGGCACAGGTGAAAAAAAATTGTCTACAGTACTACAATCAATTCATATCATTGGCTTGAACTGATGTCTTGAGTAATCCAGTAATTTTGTATGTGTGTACATTATGTTTGTCAAACAAAAATAGACAATTGGTTATAGTTGGAGTTACGTAATACAAAATCAGTCAAGAAAAGTAGGTGTGAATGAAATTAGGTAGGGTAGTAACAAAGGTGATGAGTTGTCATAAACAGTTGTTAGAAAAGAGGTTGTGTAATAATATGAATAGTTTGATGAGTGAGTTTCACTCAGGATACACATGGGATCAATGTAGAGAATACAAGATTACATAAGAGTTCTAAATGAATAGAAGAGTTATAAGCAATTAAAAAAACAGGCAAACAAACAAAATTAAGCCATCAAAATCAACGTAATTTCGTATTCTCTACTTTGTTCCTATGTGTATCCTGAGTAAAACTCAATCATCAAACTATTCATATTATTACACAACTTGTTTTTTAACAACTATTTGTGCCAATTCATCACCTTTGTTACTACCCTAATTTTCTTAACTGATTTTGTATTACGTAACTCCAACAACCAATCGTCACCTATTTAATTAAAATAACCATAACTTATTCAGTAATGCTGTATGTAGAGTTTAATATAAACACATCTTACGTCGAATTTCATAAACTCTGTCTGTCTGTCTGGATTCAACATAGAACTTGGCACCGAAGTGCAGAAGTTCGAGTTGCCACGTTCCAAATAGCACACAAAAGTAGAAAAGAACATGAGTGAAGAGAATCAATAGAGTTTGACAAGTATAAAAGTGAAACAGAATGGGTAATGGTAGAAAGAAATATGAAAGATTACAGAGACTGAATACATCTGCGCTGGCCATTGACAACGATTTTGAGCCATGTCACCTATTGTCTCTAGCCATTGATTCCTAGAGTCCCGAGGGCCCCAACCCGGAAGTCTGCATTTCCCTACCTGACTCAGTTTAACTGTCAAGGATTTCATGGATTGATGAGGCCATGTTTTTGTTTGACCACCACTTACTCTTTTCCAACCTGCACCTATCTATCTCAGCTAGTAATGCCAGTCGGGGGAGGCGATGGTTAGGCATGCGCACGCGACACGTGACCTAGCCATCTCAATCTATGTAACTTTATAGCCTCGTTGATTGATTTTCCTTCTTTGTCCAAAACACTACGCCTAACGTCAACATTACTTACCTTATTAAACCACCTAACGTGAGAAAGAGATCACAGACATCTATGATCGAAAGCAGTCAACCTTTTCATGTCTTCACTTTCACTAATATACAATTTCTATTTTTTTTCACGGAGGAGTTTAGTAAGCAAAGTGATGAGTTGTCACAATCATCATAGTTGTTAATATTAGTCAATGCATAAGAAGAATTGAATGTAAGTGTATTAGAGTTACGTAATAAGATGACTAATTTAATGCGTGAGTTGTAATCAGGGTGCATATTCATTGAATTACTCATCTTGTTGCATAATTCTAACACTTTTATTCTAGTCGTCTTAATGGATTGAGTAATATTAACAACTATGATGATTGTGACAACTCATCACTTTTCTTACCAACCTCTTCCATGAAAAAAGGGATTTTGTGTAAATGCGTTTGTACAGCTAAAGGGGAAAATGAATCCTCTGAACTACGTGTTTTCCCATATTGGTTTACTTATTAGATATATCACACAGTGAGTGAAACAGTAATATTATTTACTTGATGACACAGTTTCGAACACAATTTATTGCCGTTCATAATCATATCATCAATTATAATCACAATACTTCGAAACTTGAGTTTTTATATATTTCTTTGTGTTTCCTCTATTCTTCATCGTATGGGTAGTAGAATTTTCTAGATATCTGGGTGGACAGGTGTTGAATCATTCCTAATACGCGTATTTCCAGTTGATTCGATAAACAAAGCTTCCGTTATCAACCCTGCTCCCTTCACCCTGTGACATTAGATTTTAAAACTGTCATCTTATCCCATCCCATCCTATTGTATTGTTGTGTGTAACTGCATGTGCTATAGCTTAACTATTCTCCAGGTTTCTTTTCTAATTTGGGTCAATCAATCTAGATTCTGCTAGGTTTTTATGTTCGGCTAGTCTGACTGACTGCACCTGTTGACCTGGCGATCATTCCAGCAGGATATTGGATAAACTAAATTGTTTTGTTTTAAAGGCTCCACAGGATTGATGTTTTAACCGACAGAGCTTGTTTCTAATTGAGTTTGTGGGTGGTTTGAATGCCAGCCATTTTTATTCCTGCCTTGTTAAGAATTTTGCCTAGGGTGGTTTCCGAGGTTCCTTCCGTGTATGGAACTACTACTGATGATTTAGATTCCTTAGTGTTGGTGTTGTCTTGCGCATATTTGACATGCATGTCGTCATTAATATTATTATTATTATGACTGTCACTACTATTATTATTTATTTTTAATTTTACATTTTCATACATACTTCCTGATTAGTTTATCTGGGTAATTATTAAACTTCAATAGTTCTTTTATACACCTCACTTCCTGTCATAGATTTTCCTTGGCACTACTAAGTTTGTGCGCTCTATTACTTAAACATTTAACCAATCCTGTTTTTACTGACACAGGGTGGAATGATCCGAAATCCAAATATCGGTTTCTGTCTATGGGTTTCCTATAAATGCTAGTGTCAAACTTCCCATCTTTCCTTTTTACGTTACTATCTAACATTGGAAGCACTCTCCCCTTCCTGACTTTCCAATTCATGAGGGAATTGAATTGCCTCTACCTTTGAGTTGATGTGTGGAAAAAATCTATCTATATCCTATGTTCTAAGTAAAGTGAATGTGTCATCTACATACCTCCATCATACTTTTGGGGTGGGTCTGAATGTTTTAATCGCTAAGTTTTCACACTTATCCATGAATATAACTGTCATAATTGGCAACTCCTTCAGTTTGTTTTTACGTTTTACCTTGGAGAAATTTAAATACTGTAGAAGTCAGACATAGCTGCACTCCTAGCATTATGTCCTCAAGTGTCACTTTCATTCTAAGTTCAAGTTCTTGGTCAGAAATGAGTTCGTTTCTGACTGACTCTATAGCCATATTTATTATTGGTATACGTGTATATAAACTCACAATGTCAAAACTAACCATTTTTTCTTCATTATCTAATTTTAAATTATCTGTTTTATTTTGTAAGAATTCGTTAATTGTGATATGATTATGAACGGCAATAAATTGTGTTCTAAATCTTGTCACCCAATTAGACAAAATAATATAATTTACAAAATACCCTGCAATGACTGTCAGTGAGGTCAACTGCCTAGGTCAGACTAGTAGGTCAGGGTCAAATTGTTGGAACATAAGAATTTAGTTAAGGTAAGAATGGTTGATCCCGCCAAGTTGAGTAATTTAGAAAAAAACACAGCAGTGCATTGCACTGCATGCATTAACACATAACCACACAAAAGGTTGAGGGTGAGAGGGTTAAAATTCTAAAAGGTAATCTAGGTAGGTGAAGAGAGAGAGAGGTTGATTACTGTATCCTTGTTCATTGAGTCTACACCCAACACATGCAATAGGAATGAGTCATCACTCAGACCCGAAATATGGAAAATACAACTACCAATCAAATGAAGCGAAAATCAAGCGAAAAACAATGGAACTATATAAATGAAGTTAGAATGTTGTGTGAGTACCTTGATATGATTATGAGCACTAGTAATAAATTGTGCTCGAAACGTGGTCATCAGTAAACATTACTGTATAACACTGTGAGACTTTATCAAAACAAAAATTTGCCCATAATGGAATTATACTATACCACAGTGCACAAGTTTTATTCTTATATCAGTAAGCATCATGTGTAGGCTGGTGACAGTATCTAGTTGCCCGCTCCCCGATTAAAGTAGGTAAAGCAGCGGCAGGAGTTGAACTCATGACACATTAGCTAAGAGCTGAGTGTCTAAGCCAATCGACCATATTTCCGTAATGCATGTGAACATATATTTCATATTCAAGTGTTGGTTTGTAGAGATTTGATTGGTTACAGCTGAGCTGAGCTGATATTGCCCTATTTAGGTAGGCAGTTACCTGGGGTTCTAGTGAGAAGTCGTGACCAGTAGGGTGCAGCAGGTCGGGCGTGAGGACAAATACTCGCCACTGAAGACATTGGCTAGGGGTCGTGAATAGACAGAAGTTAGAATTCATGGGTTGACCATTGGATCGGGTCCCAGTGGCTTAATGGTCTTCGAGCTCGCTAGCCGTGTAACTGAAGGTCCTGGGTTCGAACCCTGGCAGTGGGTGCTCACTGATGAAGAGTCCCACATGAGGACGAAAGAGCTGTCAAGTACTCGCAGCTGGTTTTCCAATGGTTCTCTAACTAATGTCAGCTCATGATGAAATCCGTTATATTTCATAAGTAGTCTTTGGAAACATTTCAATTTTCACATCCTATTCTAGTTGTAACAAGATATTATGCTTACCTTTTACACCCTTGTATCGTTGTATTATTTATTGTATTATGTATTTCTTTTTGATTTTAGGCTATGGTGACAATGAATTTTGCTGGAGTTTGTTGGCTATTCGTTTTAGCTGTATCGATTAGCAAACTTATTGCCTTTTTAATGGCAATGATATTCACCTTTTTGATTAGTCGACGTTGTCATCTAGGCATAGCTGCTATTGTTGCAATGTTTGTATCACAGTCGAATGATGTGGCGTTAGCTTATCCTATACGTAAGTTCCTTATGGACAGTGTTTATTATTGCTATTATTAGCATTATTTTTACCCGTACTCTCTCATTACCTAACATGAAGGACTTCCCTACCAGTCACCCTTGACCTCAAGGGAGAAAACTCGTCATTTCCCATTGTAGTTCCACTCGAGGGCATGGAGCGTCTCCTCAGCGTGTACCCGATTTATGTCTATTTTCTTGTGAATATTTGTTTAGCAATAGGTCCTGGGTTGGTTCATTCTAAAAGTTCCGTGTTGCTTATCACTTTCAGGCGGTCGTCTGATCTTTGGTACGGAGCAAGGACATCTTTTGCATAGAGGTCTTTGTTAACCTATGTGAAAGTGCTTTTTGTGATACACTGGCCAATTCGCCGCACCCTATAAAAGCACTGAATGACTTGATATTATAAATGGGTCATCTAAGTAACCTATTCCACGCAAAAAACGTGATTTTTTAAAATATCCTTTTAGTTCTTATTATACGTACTAATGGATGTGATTCTAATCGACTTTAGCATGTTAGGGTTTAGCTTTTAACAAGAGAATAGTGTCACCGAATGAACACTGATCAGAAATTTTAGTATGCCTGGCGTGCGTTTCATTCCTGTCAAATGTAAGATGGTGCTAAAGGACTGGTGTGTGCCGACTTCCGTTTTAAAGCTAAGTAGAGAAGCAATTGAGTATGTTTACAACTAACCTTATTCGCGAAGTTGGAATAGCTCTGGTGGACCGATTGCTGACGAAATCCTAGCATGGATACGAAAGGCTGCTACAGCATTTGCTAATCTGCGTCATCTCTGGCCTAAGCGTGATATATCTATCTATCGATCAAAGGACGTGTGTAATGCGGAGCAATCCTCTCTGTCCTTCTTCATGGCGGCTGTGAGCTATGGTCACTGAAAGTGGAAGATATAAGAAGGCTAACTGTCTTTGACAAGGCATGTTGTTTGCGTCCGTGTTAAGTAGTATACTATGGTTGGTAATATTAAGGTTAGGCGTAGACGGTTAGATAAGAAGGATAAATCAATGGATAAAGTTGTATAGTTGCATCGGTTCAGTTGTCTGGGACACGTGTTAAGCGTGCCAAGCCACCACCTTCCTCGTTGAGTCGTTTTAGGATTCATAGATATAAGAACAAAGTGAAGTGATCTGAAGTGAACTGGTTGTTTTGAATTTTGTTCGTATGAAGACTGTACCACTGACTATGGATCACCCCATAGTCCAAGTTTGGGGTGTACAATTCTCGCTATCGAGGTTTTGTAAACCGACCTCTACCCAGAGGATACTGTTACAGTTCTGTTCACTAGCAGTACAACTTTTCCCTTGAACTCTCAATATAGTGTGAGCAACTCACACTGTGTTGGTAACTGCGTTTAGTCTGACCGTTTTCTAAGCTATCATTTTGGTGTGTTAGGATGTATAGGACACATTCGTTGGGTCACTGAGATATGCGTTAGCCTAAACACCACCACGTCAAGGTAGTAGCCATCAGTCTGAAGGCTAAAATTATGACTTCTTTAATATTTTTTTATTCCTTTGGTTTCCCACTGGAACCTAACGGCTTCAATCTTGGACTCTGAATTTCCAGCTAACCCGACGCCCAACCTACCTTCTTTACCGCTGGTTACTGCTGGTTAAGTGAGGTTAAGGGGTACATCGACCAGGGATCGGATCCCATATCATCTGCATGGTTAGTGAGTATTCTGCTTCTCGACCACCGATGCAACATTATCTTGGCGCGCGGTACGCATGCCTATGGCTTAAAGCTCTCCCTGCTCAAACCTTGCACACAACCACTAGGTCGTCCACTATTGTATCGCTCTTGGCAATTCTGGCAACAAAAGGTCATGGGAACACCAACAGAGCATGTGGAAAGCTAGGTAACCCAGTGTATGGAGTGTCATGAGCCAACAACACTCAGTATTGGTGACGCTATTGGAGTATAAAAGACTGTTGTTAATCAGTCATTGTACAGGTGTGAAACCACTCCTTATGACAGACCTGCATCGAAGTTTTTTTTGTAATTTCATTTCAAAACTATTGTTTAAACACTTTTTATTTTGTGATTGTTATTCTTCTTCCTCCTTCTGCTTTTCTTTGTGTGTTTAGTGAATGCTCTTTTCCCAGATTTGGCTAGTTACGTGTACCTGTTCGCTCCTGTCCAGTTAGTTGTCCTTAATCCCTTCGCCTATTTCCTTTTGGAGCTGGAACGAGTTAAGTCGACTGATGAAGAGTTGACCCCCTTGGTGGCTAGAGATAGAAAAGAGAAGAAGATCAATGGACCAGGTCCTAGTTTAACACTTTCACGAAGCAGTAGATTTCGTCAATTTGCTAAGGTAACATCATTTTTTGTCTGTTTCTTTTTGTGTTGCATTTATTTTATTATTTTTTAACTGGATAACATGTGATATAAAACTGTTGGTTAATGTTAATGATCATCGATCTGATGTAACTACTTAAAATACTGACACAGCTCCCGACTCTGGACTTCTATCTATTTATCTATCCGGTGAAATACTGCTACCTTGTACACATTTCGTGTGTTGGCTTAATGAATTAAGCACTCGACTTTCAGCCACCATATCCTCAGTTCGAATCCTGTCTCACTTACTTCAATGTAACCAGCTGAGCGTAATATCACTAACCGACATAAGTTGGAGTAGAGAACCATTGGTGGAAAGTCAGGGAGTACTGGACAGCTCTTTTCGTCCCAGTCTGAGGCTGTACAGCTGTATGCACCCATCTAGGTTCGAAATCGTAGACCATTCAGCCACTGAGACCCAGTGCAGTGGCCCATGAATTCCAACTTCTGCTAAGTTGTGATATATATATATAGCGCAGCCGCCAGCCAGTGTCTTCGGTGAGTAATTGTCCTCTTACCTGACTTGGTGGACGCCGCTGGTCACGACGTCTCATCGAAGATAGACGAATAAGTGACTACAGGATAGCTGTTTATTCACAGTTTGGAAGTGTCAAAAGTATTGGAGCACAAAAAAGCGAACTAGTCGAGTAAAGGTGTGGAGTTTGACTTCAATAAGAGGTACGTTTTTAGTTACATAAAATAAGCAATGCATAATGGTAAATACTGCTGCTGGTTCACAACAATATGAGACGGCCGCTTCACTCAATTTTGAGGCCGAACCCAAGCAATGGCTTTCCTGGTTTTGACTGAATTCTCAGAGCAAGAGAGTCGAATCAATCAATTTCAACCACCCGCATTAACCAAAACCCAAATCTCAGATCTTCAGATAAACAGTCATTTAGGTTCAAATGGGGTTTCATTCTGCCTACAACTAATCTTAGCTGGATGTAATTACTCCCCATTCAGTGGTGGTGGTAGTGTGTTCCCACTGAGATTTGAAACACAGGAACTATCACGTCGAACGCGTGTCAACACCAATGTCAAATTATCATCATTATTTTTATTCTTCTCATTCGAAGTACAGTTTCCGTCGCACATCTCTATTTCACCCTGTCCTCTGTGGATTGTTTTTTCATGTTGGCTCCTCCTTCTCCTCCTCATGCAACTTCCTCCATTTCGTCGTTGAAAGCTCAACTCAGCTCATTTTTCGTCTGATTCCTAATTGAGGGCCTAAATGATGCGTGAAGCCACTCTCCTTAGTCGGTTTGTCTTTCTATTCATTTCGACAACACAATAAGATGTAGTTTATCTGAACCGTATAATGGATTGGCGCAGCACATTTCAGACATTCTGATCACACACACGAGTACTTGTCATACACCGTTTTTATAGAAGGCAAGAAGGCATGAATAATTACAGTACAGGTTAGATTGTGCACAAGAAAAGGTCACAAATATTGGGTATAGTGATGACGTAAAAATGTGAGTAAGAAATGAGGAAAACACAAAGAAGGGGTTGAAATTATTATGAAGTAAATTGGTTCTAAAGTGGATTACCAAGGCATGTTTAGAGTAATCACAAAAAACTTTTGGACACATAAGACAGGTTTAAATCTTTTTATGGCTAAATCTTCAACGAATTTAAGTATGTGACCCAACCTTGTAAAATATATCAGTTTGAAGAGATTGTTGAAATCAACCTTATTATCCATCTCTATAATATGCTTCGCTGTAGATGATGTTGGACATCTATTTCCGGGATCAGTTGTGTATGGTGATTGCATTTGTTGTTGCAGCCACTTTGGAATGTGTTCTGTAGCCCTAACCTGCAGAGACCGATGGGTCCTCCCTATGTACGTGTCTCCACACATACACTATCGTTCGGATAATGTGAGGGTTTACAAGACAGCATAGTTCTCGTTTTCTCTATGAAGATACGTTTAGCTGCATAATAGGTTCTATTAATTGCGGCTGTGAGTCTTTGTCTAGTGACCAGACTTTGTTGATCACCTCTGAACGGCAAGGATATGTAAACATCCTTTGGATATTGGTAGAGCTCTATGGCTGACACTTCCGTAATACCTAATAAATTTTAGAGGGTTATTGCTATCTAACAATATTTCAGTGAGGTGTTATCTTTCATCTTCAATTTTGTCGGTAGTACATATACGGTGAATGCGCTTGAACACACATTTAACCAACGCCTTTTTATACTGTAATGGACAGGCTGGAAAAAAGCTAGCGGTGGTCAAACCAAAACATGGGACCAGTCTACAACAGTAAGTCTAAGCCACGTAGGAAGGTGTAGACTTCCTGGTTGGGGTCCTCGGGACGGTAGAAACTAATGGTTGGAAACAATTGGTAACATGGCTCAAAACCGTTCTCGATGGCGCAGACGCATCTACTCCTTGTGACTTATGAATTCAAATGAAACCATGTTGTTCTTCGTTATTACTGTTCCTTTGTGCCACACCTCTGTTTATTGTCTCTATTATGCATTTCTTCTACTTTTTTCTTTTGCTTTGTGTTCTGCATGGAGTGTGGCGACTTGAACTGCCGCACATAGGTGCAGACTTCTACGTCGAAAACAGACAGACAGACAGTGGACAGAAGCTATGCTAATTTAGATACTGTCCCGTCCATGTGAACTTTCTGTAGACAGATCGTTGTACTGAGATCATAACCCGTCGAGAAGATGGGTCAGTACAACGATGCGTTGCGCCAATACATTACACGTTTCAGATAAACTACGTCTTCTTATTGTGTTGTCGAAATTCATAAAGGGAACTAATTGCTTTAAATTTCTATTCATTACTGCTGAATACATACATATTTCAATAGTGTGGGAAATACAATTTGTGTGCCTGAGTTTCATATACATTTTAGAAGCATCATTTAAATCCGTTATAAAGTATGTGTGTATTTGTTCCATTCGACTGTAAGCGGCGTGATATATGTTCCTCATATAAGAGTGAAAGGTTGAATCCGAACATCTGTCACTTACATCTGGATTGGTTGACCTGAAGGTCACTCGAAGGAATCTGGAAACCGGAATTGCAAACCTATATGGTGTATACATAGGTTGCAGAATCCGGAAAAAATCGAATCGCATATAAGCCTGCTTTTTGGTCACTGGGGTACCATGCGAACACAGGACCAATGCTGTATAGATCAGTCTTCAAGTCAAAGGCTTGTAAGGCGACTGACTCCCTGAGAAAATCGCCTGCTTTGGTCAGGTCGTCCGAGCAGTATCTACAGCCTATACATATACTATATGTTTGGCGAATCTCTTTGTTTTGATTTGACACTAGTAGCTAGTGTGACGTGTCTAGTCCTTTCTTTGGTGCGGACTGAATTCTATCGGTCAGGTTGTAATGTGGCCACCATTCTAGGTAGCTCGCCATCACGGTGCACATTGATTTGATGATATTAGATAGTTGAAGGCAATCAACAGGAAGCCTTGAACCTAGGTTTCGTGCTAGTCGGCACTCACCAGTCAGAAAGGCGTATCTGCTACTGCCTTGAAGGAACTCATGTCTCTTCTGAGATTCGAACCCGCGTCACCCAGTACCACCGGCAGTCAGAGACGTTACTACTGAGCCAGCTATTCGGGCTTGCGATTGACCTCCTGTAGGACTCTAGTGGATATTTTGATTTGACACTAGTAACTAGTGTGATGTGTCTAGTCTTCTCTTTGGTGCAAAATCTCTTGGTGTCCATAATGTACAAAGTTTGTGTATGTGTGTATATTTAAATAAGCAATAAACAATCTCTTTTTAAAAAATTTCCCCTAGGTTCTCTTCAATGTGCTCAAAAACCCGTTGTTCTTTATGACTGTAATTGGTGTCATATTTAATTTCATTCTAAAACATCACCTGCCTATATATCTGGATACTTTGCTCAAAGTTATCGGTAAATTTCTCCCTACTTGTTTCCTTCGTTTGTTTGCAATTTTTTTTTAGGGTTAATAATTATTGGTGTCAGCAGCTGGGCAGAAAAATCATTTGTTGATTCGATATTAAGATCTTGGATTAATTCGTTTAGCAAAGATGTTTCTAAAAACTTCATACAATTCTTCCCATTAATAAACTTGAACAAAGCAAGAACAACAGTTGTACCAGGATAATATGAGCTCATCTTTTATTATTTAGAGGATTCTTCTCAACTGGTTACAACCTGAACGTTAAAAAATATGAATTACATTAAAGATATGAACATACTTTTCCACGATCATAAGGAGTAACTGGTAGGAATTAAAAGTAACATTAGTCCGGAATGATTTAACTGACTAGGAGTTACAAACACTGACTATTTATAGAATAATTAGACAATTAGGCTTGGAAACAAAAAACAGGGTTGCGTGTATATATATGTGTGTATATGTTTCTATTATTATTTTATATACAGTACTTCGTCGGTGGCACAGCGGTTATCACTCTCACTGACCATGCAAATGGTCAGGGGGTTCAATCCCTTGCCGAGGTACACCTGATATCAATAGTCGGCCTGCAGAATTCGGGTTACTAATATCACATGCTGAAAATTACATCGTTGTGCCAAAAATAATGTGTCATTTGAAGCTATAGCTAAAATAAAAATAAAAACCTGGGCATCTGGATGGTATTCATTAACTAATCGACTGAGTTTCAACATAGGACTTTGTTAACAGGAGCAGCAGCAGGATCCGCGGCATCATCAGTCCAAGTTGTCACATTCCATTTAGCACACAATAGCGGAGAAAGAAAAGAGAGATTCAAGCGAAAGAATAGTAACATTGAAGGAAATGAGGATATTAGTGGTTCGGTGAGATAACAAAGAGAGAACGATTTTTAACCATGCCCCCAACAATCGTCTCCAGCCAATTTTTCTTAGTATCCCGAGGATCCTAATCACCCAGTTTACACCTGACTGATTGACTGGTTTCCACGTAAACCTACTTTGCACCGATGTGCAGCAGTTCGAGTCGCCACACTTCACTTAGCCCACAAAGCAAGAGAAGAAAGTAAGGAGAAATGCAAAATAGAGACAGTAAACAGAGATATGAGGCAAAAAGAACAGTAATATATGGAAAAACAATATAGTTTCATTGGATATTATAAGTCACAAGGAGTGGATGCATCTCCATCAGCCACTGAGAACGACTTTCACCCATAGCACCGATAATTGTCTCAGGCCATTGGTTTTTGCCATCCTGAGGACCCCAACCGGTCAGGAAGTCTACACCTTCCTACGTGCCTAGCCAGAACTAACTGTTGTAGATTTCCTTGATTGATGAAGCCATATTTTGGTTTGACCACCAATCACTAGCTCTTTTCCAACGTGATTCATCCTGTCTCAGCTAACATTAACCGTTGTCGACGAAGGCGATGTCTAGGCATACGTAACATATGTTCTAAGAATTTCAGTCGATGTAGCTTTACAGCCTCGTCGATTGATTTCCCTTTCTTACCTAGCACTTGATGCCTAGCCTCAATATTACTTACCCTTCACACGGGAGATAGAATACATGCATCTATGGTCAAAGATAGCTATTCTTTTCATGTCTTCTACTCTCAATGGCCAGGTGTCACAACCATAAGGGAGGACGGATCGAACCGGTGAGCAGTAAACCCGCCCTTTGGTCGATAGCCGTATATCAAGTCTACGCCAGAGACGGCGAAAATTGGTATATGCAAAACAAGCCATCTGCATCTGTGCTGAGATTTTATCAGCTGTCAATCCTCTGGTGATGGCGGATGCAACTTCCAAAATAAGTGAAATGGTCAACACGCATTACCACTTTACTCCCTATTTCTAAACTAGGAGTCAGTGTAGTCCAGTCCTGTAACATCATCTTACATTTGGCGGGAACGAATCACATGCTAAACATTCGTAGATTGCAGCTCAAGGTGTTCAGAAGACTCTACATATTGTCAGCGTCTTCACCTAGAAGGGAGGATTATATCATCTGCATATTCTAAGTCAACGAGACTATTAATTCCTGATGGTAACAAGTCAATCCCTGAGTCGGTGAAATCACTTAGGCTTAAGTCCATTAGTACACATTTATAATGAAATTGAATAGAAATGGGGTTAGTGGGCATCCCTCGCTGTCGGACACCACTAGTTGTCACCATTTCAGATGACAACTCTCCGTATGCTCCCCCCTGGTGGGCTTGATCAGTGCAATGTATTTTCTCGACATTCCTTTCTCAACCAAACATCGCCATAGTACCTCTCAGTTGACGGAATTGAGTACCTTGTTTCAGGTCAAGAAATATTGCGATGGTTAGATGCCGGTAAGTATGCCTATGTTGTTCTAGTCTGCACCTCCCTACGTGGATGGCTCAAAACAACCGCAGCTTTTCAGTTTGACCACTCGTAACTCTTTTTTCAACAGCATTGTCACTGAAGATTGCTTGTGTTAAGGACGGCGGTGACTTGGCATGCATGAGTAACACGTTCCCCAGTCATCTCATTCAATGCAGCTGCATAACCTGATCGTTTGGCTTCACTTCCTGAACTAACTTTTCTGGATATTAATTAATAGGCTGAATTGTTAGATGGATTGAAGGCAATTGGCACGGAGTCTTGGACCTACGTTTCTTGCTTGTTGGCACTCATTAGTCAGAAAGGTGTTCCTGCAACCTTGTTGGAACTCGTATCTCTCCTGAGGTCTGAATCCGCGTCACCCAGTGCTGTAGTCAGAGACGTTACTATCGAGCTATTCGGGATTGCAATTGACCTCATGTGGGACTGTAATGGATACTGTCGACACCAGATAGTAACTAATATCATAATGTGCCCGAAACACTATATGGTTATTAATTCTTTGTCACTATGTTATATGTCAAGTGAAGAGAAGTGTGTTTTCTAAAATAATTTCTGTATTCCATACTTAATTTTGATGAGGCATAGGTTTTCATTCCTCCCTTTTTTCGGATCCTAAGACAATCTGCTGTACACCTACCGAGTTTTAAGCAGTATTAGTATACCTCACACAATAGATATGGTTTATGGCTAACTGCAATTGATTTCTCGGTTACATTTCTAGCATGAAATCGCTATAACTCTTGTAAGTCAGATCTCTGATGCACCAAGCTGTTAGCCACACATATATGGTTAGTTTCTCAGACTGAAGTAGGCTGGACGGGTTTGAGACCCGTGTCCCATTGGTTGAAAGATGAGCGTATACGCCAAATGAGCCACACAGATTTCTATGAGTCTGAATTTTATTTCAATGACAAAAGTAGCATTTCCAGCCCCTTTACATTGTTGCGTGTAGCTGACGACATGGTATGCAAATGTGAGTAGTGCTCTGTAATTATTTATCATTACTATTATTATTTTTGTCACTCGTATAAATTTGACTTTATTTTCTTTACCCCTCCTCTGCTGTTGTCACCCCCCCCCGGTTTAGCTGATTCCTTTTGTGCCACCGCTTTATTCTCACTTGGTTATGGTATGGTCGGAAAAATGGCTACTATTACACAAAGAGAAGGGTATATTTTAACAACTATTCTATTGACAAAACTGTAAGTCTCTTTGAATTCATCTTGTGTGTATGTTAAACTCTTGCTTCACATTATGTATATTTTTCAGGCAGGGAGATTATTTGTTTATTTTATTGTTCCCTTGGGTTTCGAGTAGAACCATAGGGTTTCAACATCACATCTTCGCCGTGTTCTATTGTCTGTGGTCCCCTTTTTATATGGACGCACGATTGCCATAGTCTCTCTATCAGCCTCGGAAGCCCTACTTGTTGTTTTCCATTCGGATTCCACTCGAACGAGGACCTGTGTTAAGCCTTTCTGTTGAATGAATGGCAGGCATAAGCCAGTTTTGCAACTTTTAAAATGAGGTGGGCGGAAGTCAATAGAAAAGAAATGTCGGTTGAAAATTTTCCCAGTTCTAGACTATATGCCACATCTAATATATGGCGGTTGACGATTCTGTTCCACTCAGTAGTTGCAGTAGTAATAGAATAGTATTCAGTGGGTGTAGGTTTAGTGCTGACTCGAACCCAGAGAACACCTGATTAAAAGTTAAGTGCTTATGTAAGTCGTAAGAGCACATCTCAGTTTCGCATCTTCTTCCCTGTAGTCCCCTTTAGCTAGCTTCACGATTGTCCATAGGCTCTCATCTCCTCCTCACAACATCTCCTGCATATCACCCCTGAGCCGGCGCCTTACTCTTTTCCTTTTTGGTTTCTATTAGAGTGCATGGTCTATCACATGATGTCACTCGATAATTTCTTCGACATTTGTTCTTTCATCCATCTCCATTTTCTTCGGGCTTGTTTTTTTATTGGGCGATAAGTTCTTGTCTGGTTTCTTCACAGGGTTCTTTGTTAGTAATCCTTTCTGCCGCTGTGATCTTCTTCGTTGTGGACCGATGTCAATCAGCTGTCGATGAAAGTTCTCAGTAAACTGTTGAAAATGCCTTACATAACACTCACTCACTCACTCACTCACATCAAGCCTGTGAACCATATAATTGGGAAGATGTATTTTTTATTCCCAAAAGGGAATTGATACAGTCTACTTTGAAGATGTAACCCTCCTCAAATTCCTCCTACTGTAGTTGAACAAAGAAAGAAGAAACATTGGCTCAGAATAATCTGGATCCATTTTATTTCGTTGGTTCTCCTCATCAGTTGCGTACAACCTGAATTCTTTAATAAGATAAAAATAAAAAGTGTACCATTTTACCAAACCTTTGTCCATTAGCAAGTATATTGTCTAAGCATCATAAAGCGTAATTTGTCTGTTAATTGTTTTGAATGATTCCAGCACATCCAAAGTCTTCTCAGGTTTGCTTAAACTATAGCAATTAGAAGATTGAAGCCTGACTTATGTGTCTAAAAAGAATCCATTGTTGGACTTCAATTACCCTGGTGACTCACCTCTCAGTAACTCTTTGTCTTCTAATTTTGTTAGCTTATCTTTTCACTCCACCCCCTCCCTTTATTTGTCGCTTGACTCTCTTAAGAGATGATCTTTCTTGATCTTCTGAGTTCTGCTCACTGTATATTACATCATCAACTTCTCATCTGACCTCATGTGCACCAAAATTTTAAAATTTTGATCTTCTCTTGTCTAATTACATAGCTATTACTAATTGTCTTTTGTTACCATCCCAACAACACAACTGTTAATAAATTTTTTTCAAGAAACTTCTCTCTAACAAGATATATATATTTGTCGTAACACTTTAGACATCTTGTAAATCTCAACTCCCTATTTTACTATGACGCTCTGACAGTATGCTTGCTAATGGACAAAGGTTTGTTAAAATTGTACACTTTTTATTTTTATTTTATTAAAGAATTCAGGTTGTACGCAACTGATGAGGAGAACCAACGAAATAAAATGGATCCAGATTATTCTGAGCCAATGTTTCTTATTTTTTTGTTCAAATTTACAAAGGGGAATCATTGTATGAAATCCTACATTGTAGTTGAAAAAAATTTCACCATCGGTGGCATATTTGGTCCTTGGTTGTAATGTTTTAGAGGAAGAATGTAACAAGAAGTTAGTCGGCCACCATAGAGTCAATGAGTCATGGACAGTAATTCGTTCCTACGAGTATTGTTTTTCATGTGTACAAGTTAAAAACCCGTTAAAAAACACATTCTTCTCCATCAAAGAACAAATGTTAACCAATAGCTATGATGTTTACATCCTTTTTACGTTGAATGTAACCTGTTATGTAATCTCTTCCCAATCTAGTTACTTACTTATTACTCTTGTTACATTTCTGCTTTTTACTTTTAAAAAAACAAACTTCAGTCTAGTTGTTCCCTTTATTACACGTGAACTTGTTGTCCAACTGATGCCTGCATCGTTAACCAATGAAACTCTGCGTTATTCCACATTTGGTTTCTTATATGGCACCACCCCAACAGCTCCACCCGTCTACTTATTTGCAGCTGAATATCAAGTTATTCCTGTGGCTGTAAGTTTAAAATAGCATTTTTTTTGCAAATTGAATTGATTTTTATTTGAGTACTGTAGTAACAGAGTTAGCCCTGTGAACTCAATCCATTGACTCCAATTCGAGTATTGATATATATAAATATATGACCTCGAGGTAGGTAATTTTTGTGACTCTGTTTCAATGGCTGAATGGATTAACTTGCTCACATTTAGTTTGAAGTCTGATCTACAATAGTAGTGGAGAATTGTCAGGAGCTGCGTTCTCATGGTGGTCATACACCACCGCCGCCGCCGCCGTAAATCGATCCGTTCGAATTTTGGTGGCCATGTAGGCACGATAGGTTTTCAATCACAGTTTTTCCCAACGACATAGACCAGTAGGTCCACTAATCCGATGTTTAACCGCTGGATGTTCGTATCTACTCCATCACTTTTGTGAAGACCCCACTCCAGCCTCCGTGTGTGTGTGCCGGTGATTAGTAGGTGGATTCTTCAAAAGTATTCGAAGGGTTTAGATAAGTCTAGAACCAGTTTTATTTCCTTCACATTCACAGTGGAACATCGAGCCTCAAGCTAGTGGCTTGAAGTTTCTGTAGCAGTGTTTAATTTTTACAGGATGGGGTTGCTAGCCTCATGCCTAACCTTTCCTCTTTACCAGCCTTATTTGTGGCATAGCGAGGTAAAGGCGTCCATCGGCTGGGGATCGAACCGCGGACCATGTGCATGGTCGGCGAGCATCCTAACCGCTATGCCACCGACGCTAGCAATGTTTCATATCTTATTATGAATATCAGTGAATAATGAATGATTAGTGCATGCATCTTGAGATGTTATTCACTTGTCAAAGTTCAAGTTTATAATTGTCTTTTGGTCAAATTGTAAGCGTAGGCAATTGTGTACATACATCTTCATGGTGTTCTGTACAAGCAACTGTACAAAGCAAAGCAAGTAAATAAGCGCATGCATTCTCTTATCTATCAAGACTTGATAAGAAGCGCAGTTACAAAGTACACAGGCAGAAAAGAAGATTACGTAATTTTCTGACTTCTAATGTAAATGTAAATACATTATATTGCTAAAGTGGGAGGGGGTATGCATATATATTTATAAGATCCCCTAGTTATTATGTTTCTGAGTGAATTTAAAAAAAAAAGACAGCTACTGTTTGATGGCGTTAGGTGATTTGATTCCGTGATTATTCATTGTGTTGCTATCACTTAGTAGAATTTATGTCAGGGGCTTTCTTCCGCTGTTACACATAAGATCTCACTTTGTGATATGGATAATGAATGATCTACCTGCATTTGGAGAACCATCGAAAACAAGTAATGGAGTACTGGACACCTGTTTCATCCTAGTTTGGGACTCCTCCTCAACAGTACACACCCCCTACAGAAGCTCGAACCCAAGAGCTTTCGGATTCGAGGTGAGCTCTAGTGGTGAGTAGTTGTAACTAGCGGACGGTGTTCACCAAGTCAGGCAAGAGGGCAGTAACTTGCCAGCCTGTAACACTGGCTGGAAGTTGTGCTAAACACATATCAGATAGATTGGCAGTAGCTGGAGTCCATGAAACATTTTAGTAGGGTCCCAGTTGTTGAATAGTTTACGATCTCGCTTTATAATGACAAGGTCCTAGGTTCAAACCCTGGAGGATGCATACTTCTGAAGAGTCCCAAACTAGGCTGACGAAACAGCTGTTCAGTACTCCTAGTTTGGGACCCACCAGGGTTCTAACCTAAGAACTCGCTAAAAGACCAGCTTGTAGACCACTGGAGCTTGCTTTTGTGGCGTTGTAGCCAGCCCCGGGGTTCGAACCCTGTTAGGCACATACTGTCGAAGAGTCCTAAACTAGGTCCCAAACACCTTGCCAGCTGCCCAGTACTGTTTGGCGGTTTTCAATGGTTGTCTGTCTAACGGATATTAATCCGTAATCATAGTTGAAATTAAAATAGTATAGAAAGAAGGACAACTGGATGTCATTTAAGAGTAGTCAGTGTTGGCAGTGTAAGGCGGCAGTAACAACAGTGACGCACAGAGATTGTTTCTTGTTCTTCCATGTTAGATAAGTTTATATTTGAATACATAACACAGTGAGTGATACAGTGTATATTAATAACTGGATGACGTTTCCAGTAGTCCATTACACACTGCCCATGATCATACATATCAGGCTTCTTATTGGATTTCATTGGATTTTTTCATATATTCAGTAGTAATGTAGGTATTACATCATTTCGATTGCATGTGTTCTGGTGTTGATTCGATGAATAAAGATTCGGAGATTAACCTCTCACTCTCTCTCTCTCCCTGTGTCTCTCTCTTCAAGTAACTAAATTACTTTTTAATACTTTTACCCTATCCTAATCCACTGTGTGACTGTATATGAGTGATAACATTGAAACAATTGGTGATATGGCTCAAAATCGCTTTCAATGGCTGGTGGAGGTGCATCCACTCCGTGCGACTTATGATTTCCGATGAAACAATATCGTTCTTCGTTATTACACACACATCTGTTTACTGTCCCTGTTATGCATTTCTTCTACCTTCTCCTCTTTTCTTTTGCGTGCTGAGTGAAGTGTGGTGAGTTGAACTGCCGCACATCGGTGCTAAGTTCTATGTCGAAAACAGACAGACAGATAACATTGAAATGACCACCGAGCTTTTTTCTAGGTTATTATTGTTTAACTTAACGAGGCCAATCATTTTAGGTTTAGCTAAATTTCTGTGTTCCGATAAATCTTATTGAATTTGAACCAAACAAGAAGTACAGTTTTATAAGAATAAAGTGGTACCATCTTTTATTTCGTTGCCTTCACGTTAGCTGCTTAAGTCCTTGAATGAAACTGATGATTTTTGATCCGGCCTACTATATTCAATCTATTGGTGTCACCATCGAAAGATACTGGGCTTCAGTTCTGAATTTAGAAATCAGAGATTCTGTTGATTCACCATGCGATTTCGTAATGCGTCGGAGATTTTTGAGCGATGGAGGTAATCTGCAAGTACGTAGTGACTTCATGAGATGGAGAGGATAGCAATGAGACCACAAGCATTCATGGTAAAACTTCAATCGAGTCACTTCTCTGGATATTCCGCAACGAATTGTCACCAAATGATTCGAAATTGATTTGAAAGATTCTCTGAGGAGGCGTTCTTTCAGAAATTTCATACATTTATTCCCCTTAATGAACTATGCCGGATCAAATTCATCAATTTCATTCAAGGACGTAAGCAGTTGACGTGTAGGCAACGAAATAAAAGATGGTATCACTTTATTCTGCTAAAACTGTAGTTCTTGCTTTGTTCAAATTCATTAAGGGGAGTAAATGTATGTAATCTTATTGAGCTGGATCTGCATCTAATTGACCTTACTCCAGCACTCATAACATGATATTCGGTATATATATATATATGTGATGAATACATTGATATGATGAATGTAGGCGCTAATTGGTGCTTGAAGAATCACTTTTAGACTCTCCTTGTATTGTTTGGTGCATTATGGGGGGTGCATAAAATAGCGGGGTGTGTGTGGGAGGGATGAGATACTACCCGAGCGGTACAGACTAAAACAGGTGATTGTCCGGAGGGTCCCCCCTCTCCCTGGACTTCTGACTTTAGAAGTCTGATGCACAAGACAGTGGAGCAGAGTTAGGAGTTGACTTCCTTTGGTTTCTGGTTACCAAAAAAAACCCGGGTTCATATGCTAATGGATCTTTTCGGATTGTGAAGTCACTAGTGTACACAGCACACATGTTTGGAATCAAGATTTTCCATCACTTCTCGGTAGACTTGTATGTCCATCAGTTGGGTTGTAAGCGCCAGATGTTCTCATCCTCCCTTTTCGATTTTGTGAGATCACTCTATGGCACCTGAAGGCGTTTAATAGGACGTAACTGGCTGGCAGAGTCTATGAACGCGTGGTCGCATGAGATACTATTTCTAGAGAAAGACTAAAGTCTACCCACTGTGGGTCATAATAGGGTGGCTCATTGCGACTAAATGATTGCGCTTGTAACGTTATCCAGCTAGTAATACACTGCATCCTTATGAGTTATATCAAATGAACTTATCTCCTATGAAATTATACTATACCCATAAATCCCAAATTCTACCCGTAAATTAATAAATCCAGTCTTAAAAATATATAAATGTACAGGTCAGTAAAGAAATTTCTAAAACCTTCTTGATAGCTGATAAGAAGGTTTCTTTCTTATCAGGTATATTGTGTATAACTAAAGTGAACTTAGACTCAAAATGATATCAATCCGTGATCCAATTTTAAAAACAAGTTGAATCCCTCCCCTGATGACCAACTCTTGAAAATTCATCTAATGCTCCATTTTGATAAATCACACAGTGGTGTTATATAGTAATATTAACTGATGACCACTTTCGAGCACAAATTATCATTGCCAATCATAATCATATCAAGTCACTCACTCACTCACACAGCTTTCTTCCTTCATATATATATATATATATATATATATATATATATACATGTGTCGAATTCCGAGCGATGCTGGGGACATCACTCGTACCAAATTCCCATGAAACTTCATGAACTCTCTTACAAATTGCCGCGCCTGGGCAGCGATGATTCGAGACGTTCATGAAGCCGGCTCATCCTCCCGTAGGAGATAGCCGAAGTAAAGTAAAGTATGTGTCGAAATGACTAGATATTTGAATAAAAATCAGTATAGGATAATGTACATTCAGAAATAATAGTGACACGAGTGTTATTGATCAGTTACAATCACATAGGAAATAAGATGAGTGTTTTTATAGTTATGATAACACAAATAAGAAAGAATATAAGTCATCCACTGTTATACCATATAAGGAGGGGACATCTGAAACCACCCTCCCTATGTAGGATTCTTAATAAAGCAGGAATTAGGGTGGCATTCAAACCTACAAACTCACTCAAAAAAGAGCTCCGTAGGTTTAAAGACCCGGTAGATCCAATTAAACAAAATAATATAATTTACAAAATACCCTGCAATGACTGTC